TTCCACGCATAATATAGACTGAATTAGACATTTGGAGAACATGATAGCACTTGACGACAGGGACGAAGACTAGGAACAAGACAACACAATGCGCTAACTTCAACTGGTTTAGTCGTCAGAAAATCAAGGTTATAAATACTCTGCATCATCGCGCTATTCAACCAATCCCAAGCCACGCCACTGATCGCAAGAACTGTGTCTCTGTCGCCCAAATCGATCGACGCCACGCTGACACATCGATCCCCGTAGTTTTTTATCAGGTCTGCCTCTATAATTTCCCTTACCGTCTTATCTCTATGTTTTCTAATTACAGTGCACAAATTAAATTCAGGTTTGCACCCACAGTCATGGCAGTGCATCGACAAATGACCGTCACGCTGTCCGCTCACTTTTTGGTTGCGCTCGAGCAATCTGTCATTCAGACATCTTCCCGTCTGTCCAACGTACTTTTTACCGCACGTCAGCGGGATCTCATAAACGACGCCTTCTGCGCAATCTACAAACGGGCTGCGATGCTTCTTCACGCAGCCAACCCGTGGTTTGCGGTAAGGGTCCGTCATTTTGCAGAACTTGGCAAGATTTTCCGGCGCAGAAAAAACTACCCGAGCATTTACGCGGTTTGCTATCCTTTTGAGATTGTGTGCGGTATTGTGCATGGTAAGGCACAACCGCCACTCTTTGTTTCTTTTGAGCCACATCCTGGTCTAGACTCGCTACGAGCAGTACGGGGATCGATGTGTCAGCGTGGCGTCGATCGATTTGGGCGTCAAAGAGACACAGTTCTTGCGATCAGTGGCGTGGCTTGGGATTGGTTGAATAGCGCGATGATGCAGCGTATTTATATCCTTCATTTTCTGACGATTAAACCAGTCGAAGTTAGCGCATTGTGTTGTCTTGTTCCTAGTCTTGGTCCCGGTCGTGAAGCGCTATTATGTTCTCCAAGTTTCAGTACCAACTCGCCCAAGAATCCGCATTACTGAATTAGACACCTGTGCATGGGCGCCGCCATAACCAACCTTCAGTGTTTGGTGCCTATTATTCCGTTCGCTTTACTTAATCATTTCCACAGCAGGACGGGTTATTGCCACTTAAAGGGTAACTGCAATAAAAAAAGTGTATTTTCAAACAGCCTAATTAAGACAAGCATGCAAAAAAAAAATTTCCTGCCAAAAACGAAATTTTTTACAACAATATTTATTGCGCGAGACTCATTTTAGTTTGCGGCTATTTCGTCCGTTTTAGATCGCGCGCCACAAACTTGGTATTGTACGTCACGGAGTGACGTATAGGGAGTATTCACTGGACGCCATATTTGTGGGTGCTGTTTAGAGCGCATGCTCAGAACGAGCTCATATTAATAGGCTGCTAAGACCGACGCTCTTGATGGTGCGGAATGCACGTTGCAAAAGAACTGTGGAAGCTCGCCGTCAGCACGCGCTCAGCAACCACGCACACAGATATGGCCGCCAGTGAATACTCCCTATAGCAGTCACCCCGCGCGCGTCGAAAGAGCGGGAGTTTCAAAAGCGGAAAAGTTGTGACTCCGACTAAATTACGTCCTGCGGCGTAAACATTGCTAGAAAAAATTATTTTTTTCGCGGGACATTTGTTTTGTGACATGCTTGTCCTAAACAGGCTGTTTAAAACACACTTTTTTTCTTTGCAGTTACCCTTTAAAGCGCTACTGTGTACTTCTCCACAGCATAGGCCTTTGTGTGGGCGCGTCAACGCCCGCTTCAGTGGCTCGGCATCTCGGTAAGACAAGAGAAGGTCAGCAACGGCGGTTCAATCTGACGCTAGTTTAAAGCGTCTATATGTAAGCTCGAAATGGCAAAGCAATATTCTTCTACCTCAAGTAGCACTTGAGGTGTACCCAGGTATATTTGGACGCCAAAGTGGGAACTAGAAAGATACCGGAAGAAAATCTTACGTCTGTGTTGCTTCGAAACACTAGAACTACACCCTTTCATGCAGTGAGAAATCAAGGAAGAGGAGATGTTAGCATACAGAGACGACAACGCGCCGAGGTATGAACGGAATTACAGTGTCCTACAGTGAGCTCACCTCCCTCTCTTGCTCATGCTCCAAGGTAAGGCGGTCTATGTCGGTTCTTTTGGTGGCCGACGAGGGCGCTGCTGTAGACTCCTACTGTCGCCTCCCAATTCGAGGGGAACAGCCGCAATCTATCTACCGTCCTGAAGCGTTCTGCGTCCCGGCTACGCCCGGCCGCGGTGTTTACGTTTGGCTACGGTGGCGGCGTTAAGCGAGTAACTGCACTTCGCGTGTGCTCGTCTGCCTGACTTTGCCGTGAAATCACTGTGACTACTGTTGTCTTGCGGCTTGGCCCTTCGACTAAAATGCAAGAATTCCCAATCGCCGGCGAAACTACACTTCTGCGTCTGGCTGTAGAACAGGGTTTACGCGCGCGTGAAGGGCGCGCAAAAAATGCATTTTTCGGTGTACCCGAAGACGAGCAGCGGCGAAAACTGGGGGATAAGAACTTGCATCGAGCGTAAAGACTTTGGATGAGACCTCTGCTGTGTGTGAATTACATTTTAAAGCACAGTACGTTATTAGGGATTACGTGCACGTCATCAAGGGTTAAAAGGCACGCGTTTAACGTGGAAAACCATATGCTTCGTCTGACGCAGTTACTACATTTCTTCCGAATCCCCCCAGCTATCTTAAAAAAAAAAACGAAACACAGACACACACACATTAGACTATACGCACACGATCGTAGAAGCCCGCGGGATAGCTTCAGGAGACTCGACAGGAGCGCCATCACTCGATTTTGACACGAACCGCCTCAGCAAGCAGTTGCGGTGAGACCAGTACCCCATTCTAGGCTACTGTAATGGAATGATTGTGTGTAGAAATAAAGCTATAGCTGCCGTTGCCTCTACTCCCTGTTCGAATGTGGGCAAAGAGCCTTTGCCTCACACCTCTCATTACAATCAGCATTCGGCACTCTGAAGGGGGGATCGGTGGCCGAGTGGTCTCGCGCACACCAGCTCGGAGCACGTGGAGCGAAAGCTCGCGCTGCAGAACCCAGGGATCCTGGGCTCAATCCCCACCCCTGCCCGTTTCGATCTGGATGAGCATCGTACCGGCGTGCGGTCGTGTATCACTACTGCGTGATGCACGTTAAAGACCCCAGGCTAGCGGTTGTACTGCACTGGCTAAATTGCTCATCTACAGCTGGGAGACTCGTCGCCCCTGTGAGGCAGACCAAGTTCTAGGCTGTATAAACACACACACAACCCAATTTTTTTTCGGCACTCTGAAGGACCTCTACTCCCCTCATCTTTTTTTTTCAATTTCTCACTGTGTAATCTCAAACTGTTCAAACGAAAAAAAACAAAAAAAAAACAACACACACGTAAAAAGAACTAACTCTTTGAAAATAAAATATCGGAGGACGCAGGTCGACAACCTCGCTTTGCACGCGCACAACTTTTGGGATGTTTGAACCGCGAGGGGGTTGCGCAGCGAGCCTGGGTTGCGACGAAGTCGTACAGTGCTCCTAGGCTATTGAAGCGTCTTATTGCTAGTATCGTTATCTGTCTACGCAACAAAACAAACAAATACAATTATTTTACAGACACGTGTGTACAAGTATATGCGATTGACGGATGATCGCGTTGTGGGAGAGCAACAGAAAGCTGTACCTGCTCCCGCATATAACCGAGGCTGCCCGATTCATGAGAAGGCTTCTAACTCAGGAATGAAGACAAAAATGTGGTCTATATTAACGTATACGTTTTATGTCCATCGAAGGGAAATAAAGCTTCGCACTACATAGTTCCTAAAAGATTAGCAATTTATAAGCGAATGTGGCTGGTTTTCCTATGCACTGACACGACACTTAAGGGGCATTCACACAGGGGAGAAATTCATTATTTTGCTTCTCGTGAAGCGCATTACTTGGTAAGAACGTCACGCAGCGGGATAGGGGAGAATTTGTACGGACTGCACAGACACTCCCAGCCTTGCGTGGTTCTCTTTGCAACTGGCGGTACTTTGTTCACATGCGTGGCAACTTTAGGGATTTTGCTCAGCAAGATTGTGTTGGTGCGCCATCGTGATCGCCTAATTTATTTTAGCTGGCGCTGTTACGCATGTTGTCCGAGGCACCCAAAGGAGTCTAATACCCCATTCACACGGGCAGCATAAAGGTACCTTTAACACAGGTCCCTTTGCAATCGGCGAATCAGCCTGCGATCTTGGGTCGCGAGCACACTCCACGTGAGGAGGGTTGTGAATTTATTCATCGTAGAGAATGAAGGTCTCTTAGCTAAAGGTGCCTTTATCATCGTGTGAATCGGGTATTAGATATTCACGAATGCCTTCCCCCAGCCGCTCCTCATATAACTCGTTTTTGATTCTACACCCTTTGTGTTTTGCGTTCACCCATTCAAGAAACACGTTTGTTTTAGCAGGAAACAGTTTGCCAAATTTTGGATCAAACAGCGCTACTGCTACGATCGCGTATCGCCGTTTCGTGTTCTCCTCCGTTTTTTTTTTTCTTCTACTTTCGACAGCATGCACCGTGCCCTGTTGTCGAAAATACGACCGCTAAATGCGTCCGATAACACAGACGCACCCCTCGGCTCCCCGGCGTTCGTGTAAAAGCTTGAGTCGGGGAGCGAGTCGCTCCGTTTCCACCGATCAGTGACGGCACGCACAACCCTGCCCGAAAATCATCCGTGAATACCCCTTTAAATGTGTCATGCCCCTCAGTGAGCTCAGAACGCCAGTTGTTGGTCTTTCTTCAATCCGTTCAGACAATGAAAAAGACGATCTTTGTCGGGGTTTCATTGTCAGGCACCTTGAGTGGCAGAAACGACCCTACGCCTCTTACCCACTGAGTCAGTGTGACCAGTTGGGTCCGATACCGTTCGCCATTCATTTTGATTGAACTGGTTCAAGGAAGACCGACGACTAGATTTCTGAGCACATCCCCGCGTTCCATACACCCCGGGGACTTGATAGAGTGCCTATCGGTCAAGTTTTTGAGCAATGCATTTCCTGGGAACTTTTCTGCTCTTCTTCTTCTGCTTCAGCAGCGAGTCTAACCTCCACTTGTCCTCTTGGGCAGCCTCCTGGCCCTTGTCGGTTTCACTCATCGCCAACGTCTCTGGCAACGAGAGGACCAGAAAACCTAATGTAAAGAACACGAACGCGTAGACGAGCATAGGGATCAGCCTGTCCATCGGAGGATCCAGAAGTCTCAGGGCGCTGAAAAGCGACGCTGAGATACCACCTAGGCGCCCGAACAGGAAAGCGCCGCACATGCCAGCGCTGCGCACCGCTGTCGGAAAGAGTTCGACGGTGAACACAAACATGGTTGTGAAAGCCACTTCCACCAGGAATGCTCAGGGACCGCGACTTTCGCGAACGCCAGCTCCATCTCCAGAGCCACCAATGCCGTCAGTGACGTCATGAGCACGGACAGCCCCAGAAAGTAGGCCAATATTGGCTTCCGGCGGCCGCAGCCCCTCAGGACAAAGTAGTTGACGGTCTGAGTGAACATGTTGGCGATCCCGATCATTATGTAGAAGAAGACGGCACCGCCTCCGAACGATTTGTATCGAGCTATGGTGTAGTAGCAGTTGAAGATGGCGCACAACCACCGAAAACGATGAGCGTTTCGGAACGCAACAGGGAAGAGCAAACGATGTTGAAAATGGTAGGCCTGGCGGTGAACCCGTCACGCGAGACGGCGCTCTCCTTGACCCTGAAGTACGCTGAGCGTACCTTGTCCAGGTCCGGGAGTCCGTTCTTTCTTGCCGCCCAGAGGATAACCCGCTCGGCATCCTTGAACTTCCACGAAGTGATAAGCCAGAGCGGAGACTCATCCGTTTGGTGGTAGGTCAGCAGCAGCAGTAGGGTGGGCGATAGAACAACAAGCTGCATTGCCGACCAGTGCATCGAGGTCGTGCCTATAAGGCCGAGCACCACCGTACCCAGCACCAGGGGCACGCAGATGTTAAGCACGCAGAAGAGCATGCGGTGGACTTGCGGAGTCACCTCGAAGAGCAGCACGGTGCTGATAGCCTGGGGGAAAAGACGGTGAGAGTGCAGGCGAGCTGGTGGTAGCTAAGACGTTCTCTGTGTCTGTTCCTTCTACTGAAAGCTCTTCCGATTTCTTCCAACGCAGTCTCAGGTGTAATACGACATGATTAGCCTGGGGGGTACGGGCATCGTGTCGGAAGCTCTTCAACGTTCCCGAGGTACGGCACTTCGATGCTCTCAACATAGCAATATACCATTCCGAAAATACGCAGCGCCTCTCATCGTCCTTTTGACGTACTACGGCAATTCAATGTACGGAGCGTAAAGGAGAACAATTAATACGAGTAGTTTATGCTGGTCAAGCATTTTGCTATTTCAAAAGGCAAAAAAACAAGAAAAAAACAAGACGATAACATATTAAGTTATGTTTCGGCTTTTGGATATGTTAGCCTTTTTTTACGTCTGTTTGATCTGGCAGGGCTGAGCTAGAGGCATTGAACTTCTTTCAGGGTGTACAAACGCTCGAGCCGGCCCGAACATACATCGGAAGGGTTTCACAATTCTCCGCGCGATGCAATATGGGAATGACGAGAGGCCTAGCGGGATTTTTCGGGAAGGTACCTTCTTAGTCCTTCTTGAACCCGTTCAGCCAGTGATAAAGACGAGCATGTCACATGTCCCAGTGGTAAACATGACTTGCACTGCTGCGCGTTTACCTCGTGCACTATTGCACAACCAAATTTGTTTTTCTCGACGAGAACTACAAGGAATGACTCATCAAGTGCGAGACATGCATACAATTGGAGCCTGCGCTACGGTCGCCTTCTCGTGCCGTTTTACAGGTGAGAAAGATTTAAAAAATCCTCACAATATTTATGTCCTAACGCTGAAGACTAGTGAGAAGTAATCCTTGACGGCATATTTTTATTAAATCCAGATATGACAAGGAACAACTGCAACAATTATTTGACCAAATAATGCCGTCGAATAATTGTAGTTTTTCCGTGCGATGTCTGGACTAAAAAAAAAACTGAAAACAAATTTGCCCTGCGCGTTTGTTCTTGAAAACAAAAAAATCATACAATTAACGTTTTCGGCGTCTCCAAACCACTCTCAACTTTTACATCGTCTTCCGAGTCACGTGCTCAGTGACGTGTTTCCGGGTGCACTGAGGACACGAAAAATCCCCTTTGGGTTCTTTTCCAGAGCTCCAACTAGCGCGCCCTCTGCTTGCGATTCACATGGTGACGTTGAAGGTTGGTCTCAGCAGTGTGAAGAGGGGGAAAAAGAAGGGGGGGGAAGGAGGCGAAAAAGTTGCTTTTCCGGAAAGAAGACCGACTGGTTTAGTAGCAAGGGGACGAATAGTCAAAAGAAGAGTCAAGAAAAATAGAAATTCTCAAGGGAGGATTAGATTCTGTGTTTCACCTCAGGGAAAACTGCGCCCCTAAAACTGCATAACGTACAGCTTTGTCGATGATATAAAGAATTTGCCGCATTCACACATGTTGAAAGGAAAATATTCTTATAGGGGCGGTGCAACGATATTCAATTGGAACGTTTCTCACTTTACATGAGCTTACTGGCACTAGCGGTACTTAAGGATACTTGCACGCAACGCTAGTGACCAAGAAAATCCTTTGCTGCACTGTAATTTCGAGGACAAAACCGAGCGTTTCATTCAATCTCTCCTTCGCAAAACCTGATGACGTAGCTGGGCGGTAGCAGTACTGCCCAGTGACGGTATTTGAATGCGGCTTGTAAATTGGACCCCAGCGTTGCGTGGGCACTCGACTTGGGCTCGTGATAATCTATAGTTCGAGTAGATTTCGGGTAGTGTCCTGTGTACAATCGCTGCAATGACGACAATAGCCGAACCATAACAATGTCTGGAACGCAGCGCGTGTCCTGTGCTTTGCCAACCCCAGCGCGTGTCTATGATCAACATTCGCGGCATATAATCGGCTCCAGATCACGTGGCCGCTTGTTCTGGCTGCAAGTTGAGGGGGCGAACTCTGCTCGTCTTTCTTTATTTTTTTCTGTGATTTTGATTGCGTGTGGTTAAAAACGAACGGGTATTTCACTCTCCATTAACGTCAGGGATCCGTTTTAAGCGGTATTTGCGCAAAATACAAAAATCGTTGCATCGCCCCTTTAAGATATTGCCGCGCGCGCAGCTGGCCAACTAGGTAGCGCGCGCGTGGCCTAACGGTTATCGCGCTTGCTTTCCACGCTGAAAGCCAGGGTTCGATTCCTGGCCGCGGAGCACATTTTTGTTCAAAATGTCACGGGTGGTGACCAAAAACAATAAATAAACAGGAAGAAATAAACGTTTAATGTGGCGAACTTGTGCCAAAATAAAAGGGTACAAAAGATAATAACAGAGCGTCGCGGGCGTCGAAGTCGGCGTAGCAGCAGAGTCGAAGGCTGGGGCGAAAACTGACTCCGCTCGCCTGGCGGAATCCCTTATGTACCCTCGTGGGTTTCTGATCGTTCGGCGTAGAAAGTTCGGCGCGTAGAACGTTCTAACCTCGAATCAACCAAGATGGTTCTCGAATTTACCAGAATATTGCTTTACAGAGCCAACAAAAATGTGCTCCGCGGCCAGGAATTGAACCCTGGCTTTCAGCGTGGAAAGCGAGCGCGATAACCGTTAGGCCGCGCGCGCGCTGCCTACTTGTCCAGGTGCGCGCGCGGCAATATAGCATTTGATTGAGCACAGAATTGCACAACTTGCTAACTTATTACATTGCACCCAAGTGTGCGTCACACCTTATTTCCTATTGCCGCCACCCCGGAGCTGCAAAGTGCGAAACATTCCCGTTATTTGCTTTGATATACTACACTACGTAATGCGATACAGTAGATTCTCATTCATTTAAACTCCAGGGTGCCGCGAATTTTGTATGATTTATCAGAAGTTCATGAAAGCTACCAATTTAATTTGCCATACGAATGGCTTCACATACAAAACAAATAGCTAATGATTCCTCTACATAGGCCAACTGATTATGAGCAGGTATGCCAGACATAAAACAATGGTGAAATGCTTGACATAAGTTTATTTACCCCTCAAAATATTTGTTTATAGTGCACTGTTTAGACAGCGCATGACAACTGAAAAGGAAATCTCGGTTTCTTCATCAGGCCAACATGTTGTCTAATGTGGACTATTAAGCGGGGGACACATGAGCGACGAATGGGCACAGAGTTGCAGTTTTCAGAGCAACTTGCGCTTAATCCGTAACGTGTACCTATTCCGAGCTGCCAGGTCACAGCGTCCGCGCAAGTTGCCATGTGAATTTCTGCGTTATGCCCGTTTTCTTAGCTCGTGTGTGCCCTGCTTGAGCCCCGTTGAGTGCGTTTCTTACTGAACACCAATGTACTGTGATGAAGCAACACCCCCGGAAATACGCTTTGTGGGCGTTGTCTCTCTGCAGTGCACCCGTGCTCGGAAATAAGAGTGCTCAACGAGGCCGCGGGAATAAAAAGTTTGAATTAAACAAAAATAACGTTCCGATCAAGCGCTCATGAATACACTAAAAAACACTGCGGGACAACTGAAATTTTAAGATTTGTTTAAATTAACCAGATGCACCAAATAGCTAAGTTTGAATTATCCCGAGACTACTGAATTTAAAAAAAAGAAATGAGGTAGTTTTTCGCGTCATTTTTGCAAAATAAACGTTGTAAAAAATTAAAAACTGCTAACTCCTTCCAGATCAAAATTATTGCATAGCCCCTTTAACGGCACAACAATATTTGGAAACAAAACTAGTCGCGAATTTTTTGTAAGCGCCTTGTAATAATAGTTTCGGGGACCGCTGCATTAGAAACCCATCAGTCATTTCGCTTCAACCAGAAACCTTGTGTTTATATAGGAATATGTATTAGTATTAGGATATATGGGATGCATTAGGATGTATTAGAATATATAGGATGTATTAGGATGTATTAGGAATATGTAAGACATATTAGTTACATGGTGTTGTGCGGTGTTTGCCACGCCCTGACATAGCTTAACTTTCAGTACGTTCTGTTCTTCCTTTTGTGTATAAATTCAGTTGCCTGTCAGCGTTTGCGAGTCGTGCGCGTTTCTTTCCTCTCTCCTTGTCATCAAATTCAAACGACCTAAGCCCAAAGGGCTGTACTGTTCGCCTGCCTTAATCGATTGAAATAATAACAAAAAAAAACGTTGTAATAATATTCTCTAAAAACGGAACCGTGCACCCCGTCACCAACCTGAAACGCGGTGATCGATGCAGACATGAGAAGCTGCAGCACCGCGAATTCGACCAGTGTCTCCACCAGGGACGTGACCACCCCGGACAAGACCAGGCCGAACAGCGTTAGGCCGAGGACTGCCCGGCGCCCATAGTTGTCGGCCGCTGAGCCCATGATGGGCAGGAGCACCGATCCGCCGAGTGAGTACACTTACCGGAGTGCCCGGAGCAGCCACTCCCTGTCGCAAACGAACTCAGCACAGAAGGCACCCAGGCACCCGGCAGCAAAACCTGCCTGTCTTAAGCCTGGTTGGGATAGTTACGTTTGACTGCGTGTGACTGCGTTGCGGCAGCGAGAAACCTGGACATCCCTTCTGCTTATATCGCGTGCCAAGATGATTCCTTGAATTGGATTCCACGCTTCATACGAAGCCCAGATGTGCCGGTAACTCGCTTTTGGTTCTTGACGCAACGCTGTCAAACACATTCAAACGCAAGTATCTGAACCGGCCTTAAGACGCAGTTTCTGCGATTTCCATAACATCGAAAACGTCGACACAGTTCCGCGTGGTTCCGTGTGCGTCCGAACTCCCGCAATCCGAAGACGGCTGCGTATTTTCTGCACGGATTTGATGTCCAGGGGGCGTGACCAATGACGTCAAAGACGTTAAAATAACAGCTCCTATTTTGACGTCTTAGTTATTTTGAAGTCAACAACACGTTTTCTTTGGAGGCCGCTGACTGCATTTTGAAATGTCGGTCGCTCGGCCGGTATGTGGCCGGGTGCTCGGCGGCTCGGCGGTGTCCGCGCTGGTGCGTGTTGTCGACGTTGCCGCCTGTACTCGTCACGTTCTCAGGAATATAAAAAAAGCGTTCTCCTTTTTCAATTTTCGCCCGGTGCTTTTCGTCACTCCTGTTGCAAATCAAGATTACGTGTACCGGAGGCGACAAAGCCCAGCCGCAGCAATTTTAGAGTGCAGCTCTTAGGCGCCCGTTTCCGGCTTGAGCGGCTTCGGCGTCGCCATCGGCGTAACAAAGGTCACCCCAAGGTCACGTGACCCCAGGTCATGTGACCCCCCAAGGTCACGTGTCACCTTCTAAGGTCACATGACCCCTCCCAAGATCACATGACCCCCAAGGTCACGCAACACCTCCCAAGGTCACCTCAAGGTCACGTGACCCCCCAGGTCACGTGACTCCCGAGGTCACGTGCCCCCAAGGTCACCCCACGTGACCCCCCGAGGTCACATGACCCCCCGGAGCATATTAAAAAATGACGAGAGGCGGAGGAGTAAACCCTCCCCTCAGTACCCTTCACTCCTCCTCCTCAAGAGCTGCGCTCCAATTCGGCGTTACAGAGAGTTGTAAACGGCTTTCACTTTTTAGAGCGCAGCTCTTAGGCGCCCGTTTCCAGCTTGAGCGGTGCCGCCGTCGCCGTCGGCGTAACCGCGGGGTGCATTATGGGTAAATTTCCCCGCTAAATCTAGGTGAAACATTTCCGCGCTAAATCTAGCGGAAAATGTTTTCCGCTACATCCAGCGGAAAAATTTCCCCGCTACATCTAGCGGAAAAATCTCCCCGCTAAAACTAGCGGAAAATTTTCCCCGCCAAATCTAGCAGAAAAAATTTCCCCATTAAATCTATCAGAAAAATTTCCCGGTTAAATCTAGCGGAACAATTCCCAGGCTAAATCTAGCAGAAAAATTTCCCCTGGCGGAAAAAATTTCCCTGCTAAATCTAACGGAAAAATTTCCCCGCTAAATCTAGCGGAACATTTTCCCCGCTAATCTAGCGGAAACGTTTTCCCCATTGAATCAAGCGGCAAAATTTCCCCGCTAAATCTAGCGGAAAGTTTCCCCCGCTAAATCTAGCGAAAAAATTTCCAGGCTAAATCTAGCGGAAAAATTTCCCCGCTCAATCTGGCTTAAAAATTTCCCCGCTAAATCTAGTGGAAATATTTTCCCACTAAATCTAGTGGAAAAGTTTCCCCGCTAAATCTAGCGGAAAAATTTCCCTGCTAAATCTAGCGGAAAAATTTCTCTGGAGGGTCGCGTGACCCCCACGTGATTTTGGAAAGGGGGTCACGTGACCTTGGGGGTCACGTGACCTTTGTGGCCTTGGTTCCTCCTCCTCAAGAGCTGCGCTTTAATTCGGCGTTACAGGGAGGTGTAAACGGCTTTTATTTTTTGTAGGCATTTTTCTGGAGCTGTACTTGTGTGTAGTACGACGGATTACCACCCTTGCATAGAATTCCTGCGAAGGCCGTGAAAGCGGCGAGCGAGTAGCCCCTTAGTGGCACGATGGCACCCGCTGCAGGAGGGCTCGTGCCGCGTGACCCAAAGCGTCTACTCGCGCTTTTAGCACTGTCGTCAACAAAATTTTCTTTTCGTGTGTGTGTGTGTTCAGTGGTAATTGTAAAAAAGAAATGTCGTAAATATCACCAAATGTACCAACAGAATAAAATGTTTGAAAAAAAATTAGGCCTCCACTGCAGATCGAACCCACGCCCACTTGCGTATCAGGCACACATCTCAGCCGCGAAGCTACGCTACAGCGCCGAAAAATCTCATTTTGACAATTCGTTTTATACGAGACTTTCGGACGCGGAGTACCGTCGGTGTACCGGCGGACGGCACTTGAACGCCATTGGCCGCGCCCCCTAGACGACAAAGCGGTGCCGAAAATACGCACACTCCAAAGACGGCCATCTAACCCAGTGCACCTACCGCTGCCGGCACTGCTCCGGAACTTTGCTGTTTCTAGCGGCTTCGTTCGCTCGTTTGATAAGATTTGTAAAGAAAAAAAAAACACAAAAAAACGTCAATGCATCCGAAATATTCTGCACGTTTGGACTGGGAGACGGAATTACAGGCGGCCTTCGCAGCCGCTGAAGCTCAATCAACTCGACATTTATTGAACAACGTGTGCGACATGCTCGAAAGACGAAACCGATAGAAGATTAGTCGGGAGGGCGAAAGCTTTCTCCCGTCTGCCTGGAGAAGGAGAAAAACGTCTAGTTCCTCCCTTCTCGTGTCCGCTTGGGAGCCCGCCAGTAGAAGGGAGGAAAATGCGCCTTTGCTACCTTTTCCTTCATTTTTTTCTCAGAGTGTGGGTCCTCATTATGAACATCTATAAGGTTTTGATCTTATGTCATAAATTTAGGAGTACGTCACTGCTAAACGAAACAAGAAACCAGTACGGATATCGGACCTCGATCATCCTCAGATCATCGAAAATTCTGAGCCTCGTTTTCACTCCTCGCAAACAGACCCGTGAGTCGCTGACAATCCCAAATAAACAGCTCACTGCAACGAACTGTTTGGTGGGAACAGCGAAAAAAAGACGTAGGACCAGAACGAAGAAAAACACACAGAGCGCTGTTCCCACAAAACACAAGGCTTCGTCCTGGCCCTACATCATTTTTGCGCTGTTCCCACCAAACAGTATGTCCCACCAACTAGCCCAACCTCATGTCTTGCCACCTCAACAAGTTTACCATATTTTGAATAGAACATGTGCTTGATCCTGATATTACATAGAAGTATCTAGTTATTTGCCAATGACCCCGATATTCTCGCGGCGAGTGATTTGAATATGGGGAATCCTAAACAATGATGGGAATTGGTTTTGTGAAGGGAAACCATTCCAGCTATTGCAAAAATAATACAATTCATATTCACTACCATTGTGACCGCTTCTGTTGTCAAAAACATTAAGTTAGAAACTAAAGTCAGAGAAACCAAACCATCGTACCTCGAAACCATTTGAGTCCAACGGCTTTCGGCAGCAATTGGTACAGCAGGTGGGTTTGGTGAATTCCAAAAAGAACGCGTTTCCACGAAAAAGAAAAGAAAGCCACGCTCGCACGAACGTGGCACGAACCTCCGTGGCGAAGTACTCCCAGAAGCCAAACAGTTCACGGCTCGCGGGCTCGCGTCTGTCGACTTTTGCGATTTCTAATGGTCCAGCGAAATCCCGGCGCCAGCGGCCAGCGCATCTCGAACTCTCAAGGCGCAAGTTCGGAGAGAGAGAAAGCGCGTCCAGACTCATTAAAAGAGTGAAATAAAAAGTTACGATAACAACCTAGAGAACTATTATTACCTTCGAAACAACTTCACCTTTGTTTGGCCCTATAAAGTATATTAATTATATTTCTTGAAAACAAAATAAGTTCCACCCACGCCCCCTGGAGGCGCGGCAATCGGAAGCAGTTCGCCGGACCGGAGGTACGTCATAAATATACGCGGCCGGTCGGAAGTATCCGAGACCTTCATACCCCTGAGACAACGACGAAGCAACGCTGCCCGCCGTGAAGCTCCCACCTCGCTTCCAGCCACCATAGCTGGGAGCAGCCGGGAGGTCATGCGCATGCGGTCACGGGTCTCACTCTGCGCCGCGGGCTGATTGGCTCAGTCGAGATGGGGGCGTTACGGCGGTGAGATCAAAGGCTGGCCAGACTCTACCAATATGTCTCCGGCCGGGGCCAACAAGCACCTCCCCAGGTAGCACACCATGTCGGCCGATACTGGGATTACGTCGGCCAGTACCGGGAGCTGTACGGCGGATCCCGGCCAGGGACGCCGGTAAGAAACCGATCCCGGCCGATATCGGGGACTCGTTGTCTAAACTGGCCAGCGCCAGCCGGAAAGTTCCCGATACCGGCCGACATCGTTTTCTTGCTGTAGTCACCGGCCAGTCTAGCCGTGGAGTTTCCGGTGACTGGCCGATATCGTTTTCTTGCTGTAGTCGCTGGCCAGTCTAGCCATGGAGTTTCCGGTGACTGGCCGACATCGTTTTCTTGCTGTAGTCACCGGCCAGCCTAGCCATGGAGTTTCCGGTGACTGGCCGATATCGTTTTCTTGTTGTAGTCAGCGGCCAGTCTAGCCGTGGAGTCTCCGCTGACTGGCCGACATCGTTTTCTTTCTGTAATCACCGGCCAGTTCAGCCACGGAGTTTTCGGTGACCGACCGACATCGTTTTCTCGCTGCTTTCACAGGCCATTCGAGCCATACAAGTTTTGATATGTAACCGACATGGCTTTTTCGCTGATATAGAAACTGTATGATGGTTACAAATGACCGTTAGGTTGGACATGTCTTCAATATGCTAAAAGGTGACACCTAATATTATCCTTGGCCTAGTATTAACGCCGCGTCATCCTTAAACCAGTTAACA